TTTTTTTTGCAGTGAGAAGGACCGCGTAACAAATATAAAAAGGTAAAGACTTCCTAACAATTACACAAAGTGTGATTCTAGAAGATAGATGTTCCTTGCTCTCCTCCTCTAATTTTAGCTCTTTATTACCTACACACAAACATATATTGTGTTTCACAAAGTTAGTTATGGTAGCTATGTACTATATATAAGAATTTGTAACAATAATTGATAGTTAACTTGGAATTTTTGTTCAACTCAAACATTGTGTAAAGAATGAGTTTAGCAAGAGTTCATTATAAGTGAAAAATTCAATGTTATAATATTTGTGATGATAAATTCTTTTGTAAACAAATTAAAATTCGTTAACACTTCAATTGAACTATGTTACATATATGTGTTAATTTTTTTCTTTTGTTTAGGTCTTCATCTACCTTTCATCAATCATTTGTGACTTATTTTATATTCTTGTATTTGTGTTTATATATATTTTATTGAAGTGTATTGATTTCATAATAAAATGGTATGGTGAACATGGAGTCCAATCATCATGACTTCTACAAAGTATGAAGTTGACAAATTCACCAATTTAAATGATTTTGGATCGTGATATTGAAAATTTATACACTTCTTATTCATTAAGACCTTATTAAAGTTTTAGAAGACAAATTCATAAATAATACAACCATGATGGAGATAATAAAATGTGATCACATAAAGCTTCGAAAACATTTGTTTCGAGCTTTAATGAAAAACTGCAAAGACAAGTTTTAAAGAAGAAAATAGCAATTGGATTATAGATGAAGCTGAAGGGTTTGTACATAACCAACAAATCCTTGATTAATTGTTTATATTTAAAGTAAGCATTGTACTCATATAATATTATTATTAAAAAGACAATTAGTACACAAGGTGAGTTAAATAAGTGAATCAAATAAAGGAAAACTAAAATTATATTTACAAACACTTATGAAGTTTTTTGTCAAACTATGTATCTAGGTAAGTTTTGTTGAAAAAAATATTGATATTTGTAAGTTCTAATTTAAATGACAATTTTTATGCTTTTTGTAATATCCTAAAATTTAAACGGACAAGTGTATTATCTTAAAATTTGAACTAATAAGTGGAATTTTAACCCTATCAAAGGATTTTTTTTTTTATAATGCTTATAACCATACAATATACAAATCTAAACTTCCTCAATATCAATACAAATATTTACAATAAATAAAAATGAAATAAAATAAAAAAAGTCTTTCTCTTCTCTCAAATTCTTTTTTCTTACATTAGTATCTATATCTAATCGTATACGTAGTACAATCATTATAAACGGTAAACACATCTACAAAATATAAAGATAAACTATTGACATTAATCATAATATATATGACATTATCATCAACTTAATTTAAACAATTGGACGGTATCAAAACAATATACAAAAATATTTTAGATAAATTTATTCATTTCACCTTATACTATCTTTATAAAAATTTAAATGAATTTTCTCATAGTGATAGGTTAGGATAAATGGGCTAACAGACTCGTTTAAATCTCCAAGTTTTACACCTTCAACTATAATAAATCAAATTATGTATAAATCAAACTGTATTATATTTTGTAGTGGCTAGTCAGAATAAATGATTTAATACTACTCATTTAAATTTCCAAGATTCCCAATATATATATATATATATATATATATATATATATTTACAATAATTATTAAATATTAAAACCAAACCATATAAATATATAACTAAAACCATTATATAATAAGGTATAAACAAAATAAGGTTAGGATCATATCACTAAATTAATTATGAGATTATGAAGAACTTACTTAAATATATGAAAAGAAGATACAACATATATTACTAAAATAAATAATTAGAGTTACATCTATTAGATTTTGGTCTTCTCAAGTTTGTTTGACATTAACATTGAGAGATTATTTTCACATATTTTTTTCACCATTCACAGACAGACATCAAAGTCAAGCATTTCCAGAAGATTGACTTAACATCATCACAAACCATTCTTACTTGTATTGATTACACAACGACAATGGTGCTCCATATTCTACCATACTAATATCTGTATTCATACATAAAAGTTAATATTCACGTTTAACACGGCAGTACGTGCATTTTCTTCATAACTTATAGAATAAAGAAATGCAAATCAGAATCCACCTCTATAAATATCCATCCTTCTTGTCTTGTTCCTCTGCTTCTTTGTTAGCAGCTTGAACAGATTTGAACCAAAGGAAAGCCTGACCATTAAGAGTTCGTAAACAGGCAAGAAGTAACATTTTACTTTTACATATAATTTAGAAAAAAATTAAATTAAATTAATTAATTTTAATTAAAATTATCAATCTGAACATTGAGGAGAGTAATTAATTCTTACCGAAGAGGGAATGCCAGTGAAGACAAAAAAACCAAGCAAGGGAGCATAAAACACGCTGTCCGAGGTTAATACTCCAAACACCGGTCTTTGGTTCACATATTCAAAGATGGAGCCAATCTGTGGCAGCAAAAGATACACTGTCAAGAAACAAATAAAAAGAAAACAATAATAATAATAATAATAATAATAATAGTGGTAAGAAGTTGGTTAATTACAGCAGCAATTGCTGTTATGGCAGAGGCAAGTAAATAGGCGAAGAATGGGATTTCAAATCCTTGCTCCGAAGTGTTTTTGTTGGCCTCATCCCTGGCCCATGGTGGTGGTTCATCGGAATCTGGTTTAGCCCAGGAAGGGATTTTTTCCTCTGATTTACTTGATTCGGCGGAGCCTTGGGTCACAGCTACCACAACTAACCTATACAGTGTTTTCCTCTTCCTATGGTGGTAGTCGGGAGCTCCAAGAAATGTTGTAGGTTGTGATACATGTTGATTTTGGATAGCACCGGCACACCACAGTGTTAAGAAGCTGCCACCGCAACTGGCCGCCATGATATTTTTTCTAATTCACAAATTGGGAGTTGAGGTACTGCCAGTAGAACCTTATCCTAAGTTTGGGCCTTAGGTAGGTTGATAGTCTTTAATGGGTCTGAGGTAGGTTGATGGGCTTTAATAAGCCTACTTGAGCGAAAATATTGGGTGGACCCGGGAAATAAAAAAAAGTGAAATAATTTGAAAATCAAATTCCCACGCAAAAGTGACCGCGCCCCCGGCCCGCCTATTGTTTGAGAAATAGGAGTTTAAAGTGTTTATTAAGATAGCTTTCGCATTCAACCACAGTCACTATTTCAGCATCCTTCTTTTGCTTTGGTTTTCTAGGTTTCTCTCTGTGTCAATGGCGGGAAAAGGAGGGAAGGGGCTCGTGGCTGGGAAAACCACCGCTGCCAACAAGGACAAAGACAAGGATAAGAAAAGGCCTGTCTCTCGTTCATCCCGTGCTGGGATCCAGGTAAACTATTTTCCTTTTTCTTCAGATTTTGTTTTTCCGTTCCGGAATTGCCTTAGTTTTCAATTGAAAACATCATCTACGCAACTTATTTTGACTTGATTTCATTGGTCACACCTATGGTATATGTTAGATCTGATTTGTGTTCTCCTGACTGTTGTGGAAGTTTCTTTGCCCACATCCTGTTCTTAACCACAAAGCAAGCAACTTTTGTTGTTTTATTTTTAATTATCTATTGGTGAGGGAAATTCTTTCAGAACAGTGTCAGATGATGAAAATTAAGTTTTTTTTTATAGTAATAATTATTCCTTTTGCGTTCCTTTTGTTCATAGGAGACATATGTGTATAAGAAAGTCCCAAAATTGAGTCTTGAAAAAAGAATTTACTCTTTAAATTCCTGACTTGACTAGAATTATATCACGATCTAAAAGAAAGGTTGAGTTTTTTGTTCTTTCTTTCTTCAAAATTATAGTTTTTGATAGCAATTGAAATGTTTGGGGATTGTTGGAAATTTTTTGTGTATAATGCCCACAGTTAAGTTTAAATCAAAGATCTGTGATAAAATCCTGGATTTTGTTGAGATGGTTTGATGTACGGTTTGAATTATTTTGATTTTGTTTTTGTGGCTGTAGTTTCCAGTGGGGCGTATCCACAGGCAGTTGAAGCAAAGGGTGCAAGCCAATGGACGTGTGGGGGCAACTGCTGCAGTATACTTAGCATCAATTCTGGAATATCTGACTGCTGAGGTTCTGGAGTTGGCTGGGAATGCAAGCAAGGATCTGAAGGTGAAGAGGATCACACCCAGACACTTGCAGCTGGCTATCAGGGGAGACGAGGAACTTGACACCCTCATCAAAGGGACCATTGCTGGTGGTGGTGTCATCCCTCACATCCACAAGTCCTTGATCAACAAGGCTGCCAAAGAATGAGACTCAATTTCCTCTTTACTTTTCCTTTAATCTGTCTCTTTATTTACCATCAGGTTGTGTGTTAGTTAGGTACTAGATTTTATTCTCTGTTTCTTAAGAACAAGATGTTAATGTTAGAGTGTAAATGATCATTCTATCTGTCTTTAACTTGGTTGATGTACTACTCCTGGAATTGTAATGCTGTTGGATTTAATGAGTTCTTTGTTTTAGCTTTAGCAAGTGATTTGTTTTTCTGACTACTCATTCAACTCTCTGGTTTTTTGCTTGTTATATTTTAATAGAGTCGTGCAATATTATTAACTATTACTACTAGCAATTTAGTGGACTCGGTTCATCAAAATAAAAGGGGGAAGAATCTTGCCCAATAAGTGACAAGTTTTCTTGATTGTTAGATTTTCAGTGTCAGTGTAGAACTGTCCGGTTTTGTGACTAATTTTTGTTATGGATTATTTTGAATTTTAGAGTTGATTATGTTACATCCTTATTCTAGTATCACGATAATAAACTTGAAAATTACAACTTATGTTTATGTCGAAATTGACTCTGGAGCTTCTAGATCTATTTTAATTATTATTTGTACTTTTTTTTTGTTTGACTGAACTATGTGAGGATCATACGTGGTCTATCTTTGCCGTTTCCATCTTAAACAAAAAAGAGAGAATTGTAAATATTTTTTAAAAAATGGTTCTTGTTATTAGGATGTATTTACTATGGTTCAATAGAAATTGGAAAAAGAGAAATTGAAGAAAAGTTATATTCATTATTTTGTGTAGCAGATAAACAGATAAAGCAAAGAAAATAATAGCAGAGAGGTGAACAATAGAAATCCTTTGGTGAGAAGGAGAAGCGAAATTTTACATAAGTATAATTATAAGTTATAATTTTATTATTTCTCCTTCATATGTGAATAAATGCTCGTTTTTTTCTCTTATATTTTTTAATCCAAATACTTGAAAAAATTACCTACTTTTTGTATTTTATATTTTTCTATATTTCCTTTCTACCTGCTCTGTCTTCTTTATACAAAGAAGTTGCTAATGAGGTACTATTGCGGGTAATAACTTCAAGTTGATTTTTTAGAGTAATAAAATTAATGCTATTGAAAAATGCTAAAAACTATATATTGTTTGAGTTACAGAGAATAAAATAAAGACAGATATTTTTTTATTGATGATTGTCGACGAAGAGTACAATATTAAACCTAAATTGCTGTGGATAAAAATAGTACAAGTGTCCTCATCTAGATCCGAGGAATTTGAAATAAAACTAAATAACAGGAAAATATCTAGAAAAAACTAAGTCTGTCCAGTGTTTTTTTCAGTAATTTTGAGTTTCAGAGCATTTTAAAAAAGTACTTTCTCCTCCGTGCATATTGTTTGCATATGGGCCAACAATTTTGTTTTAGAGAATAGATAATAGTTTTATTTAACAACTCTACCCACACTACACTCATCTGCCTTTCTACCTCACTAACATTGACTCTATCACTTGTAGTACTTTTAGAGAATTCAATTGTTTGTGTTGTACTAATATGAATGTCATTTTACCATTTATTTCTTCATCTAAAAGATTTTTTAAACTTTATTATTTATTTATGGATTAAAAGTTTTTTTTAAAAAAAATTAATATTTTTATAAATAATGTATTTAAAATGTTACAATAAAAATATAGTATAATTCAATTTTATTAAATTTGTTGCATTTTTCATAGTATCAAAGCTTACATTCATCCATTTACATTATAATTTTTTTTAGGAGAAAGGAAATTTGGAATTATTTAACGTGGACCAAATTGAATGACATAAAGGTCCAATCGTTTGCAGTCTAACCTTACTCTTTTAAGGAAGCTTAAATTAGATAAACCTTTCACTATGAAGTCCAAGATGTATCTCGATATCCTTGATTGTTTAGATACAAATTGTGCATATTTAATAATAATATGAATGTGGAATAAGCAAAATACAAATTCCATTAGTTTTTGTCTTGACACTTATCAACAAATATACTATTAGATATATCTTTTGATAATTATTAATGACTATTATCCTTTAATAATTACCTATGAATATATATATATATATATGATAATTACTAATTATTTATATCTGTCAGTAATGATTATAACAACAAAATTATTGACGGATATTTATTGTCGGTAATTCATCAATTTATTACCAACTGATATTTGTTATTTTCGATATATTTTATCTTTTGATATATTTTTTTTTCAATAATATATATACAATGCTAATAAAATATATTCTACTTTGTTGAAAATTGACGGGTATCTTTTTTTTTTTTCCAATAATATGGAAAGATTCTAACGTAACATAAATCCAGTAAGTAAATATATTGTCGGGGTTGACGTAATTGAAATAACTTGTTTTGGACTAAAATAATGAGATTGCAAAAAATTGTTAAAAAAAAGAAAAAAAAAGGCTAAAAAAATTCATTTGATTATAATTTTTTTTTCAATTATTTAATTTAAAAAAATTTCAATTAAATCCTAATTTTTGTTAAGATTTAACTGAGTAAGTGTTCCTAAAATTCTAGGATATGAAATGAATAGCAATAGTGATTATGGTTACCCTGTAATGAAGGGCAAAAGAAAAGAAAATTAACGAAGAAAGAATAGTGATGCATTCCTATTCAATAATAGCAATCTTTACTAAAAATACAGAAAAAGAAAAAATACGAAAAGAGAGACCACAAAAGTCATGATTTCTAAGATAACATAAATATGGATGACAAGACAAGTTTGTTTTTTTGTATGGTTTCTTAGTCTGTTTTGTGTTATACAAAAACTAGACACATTTAAAGTCATAAAACATCATCAATAATGGTTGAAATTTTGCTTATGTTCAAGTTCATGAAATAAAATATAAATCGGTTAGCTCAGTCGTGAATGCAATAAGAATGGTCTACAAATGTGAATTGGTTCTTAGCAAAGTAGGTACCCGGAGGGTTTCTTTTAAAAGTTTGACTAAATTGGACTATAAAATAAAAAGACAGTTGTTTGTTTTACAACTTTGCCTCTAGGAGGAAGCTACTCGGAAGTTGCCTCTATGTACCCTCTGGCACGAAATTTTAGCATATTATGTCTTATATATAGGAGATAAGCAGCATTGAGTTTTCAGAATGAAGTTCTCTCAAAATCCACCATGAGCAACCAAAGCCTTAAATATGATGGCACCTCATTCCTCATTGACATAACCTCCACTGTTAATTACACCATCAACATAGCCAAAAAGAGATGGCGTTTTGCTTACACAGCAATTTATTCTAGGCGAGTCATGCTTGCCTTGGCCAAAGAAGTCATGTCTAAGAGAAATACAAACACCCATCATTACTCTGAGCTCATCCAAGCCCGATCTTCAAATTACAGCAGTACTCTAGAAATAATCGAGCCCATGATTCCGCAACATGGAACCAATCGTTATTCTTTGGTTCCTGATGTTGACAAGGTCCGGATTACCAGTATGGTCAAGGACAAAAACTTGTCAGCCTTTACAGAGTTTGGAGGAGTTGAAGGTGTTACAAACATTCTTGGAACCATTCCAGCAAAGGGAATCACTGACAGCCATGATGATGTTGCCAAACGTATTCAAGTATTCGGTTCCAACACTTACCAGAGGCCACCGCCTAAGTTTTTCCTGAGTTTTGTAGTGGAAGCTTTCAATGACACTACTATCATTATCCTTCTTGTTTGCGCCGGTCTTTCCCTTGGTTTTGGCATAAAAGAACATGGCCCGGGGGAAGGCTGGTATGAAGGAGGGAGTATATTTGTAGCAGTGTTTCTGGTGGTGGTTGTTACCGCACTCAGCAACATCAGACAAGAGAGACAGTTTGACAAATTGTCAAAGATAAGCAACGACATCAAAGTAGAAGTAGTGAGAAATGGAAGGCGACAACAGATATCCATCTTTGATGTTGTAGTGGGAGATATTGCATCCCTTAAGATTGGTGATCAGATTCCAGCTGATGGATTGTTCTTGAGAGGCCATTCTTTGGTAGTGGATGAATCCAGTATGACAGGTGAGAGCGATCATGTAGAAATTGAGTCTTCGAGAAGCCCTTTCTTGTTGTGTGGTGCAAAAGTGGTCGATGGATATGCTCAGATGCTAGTGACATCTGTGGGAACCAACACAGCATGGGGTGAAATGATGAGCTCGATATCGCGAGACACCAACGAAAGGACACCATTACAGGCTCGCCTTGACAAGTTAGCCTCTTCTGTTGGAAGGGTAGGCCTCAGAGTCGCTTTTCTTGTTTTCAGAGTCTTGTTAATTCGTTATTTCACTGGAAACACACAAGATAATGAAGGGAATACAGAGTTCCAGGGGAGTAAAACTGATATAAACGACATTTTCAATGCGGTTGTGAGGATTATCGCTGCTGCAGTGACAATTGTGGTGGTGGTAATCCCAGTGGGTCTGCCGTTGGTCGTCATTCTCAGTCTTGCTCTCCCCATGAAAAGAATGATGGCAGACCATGCAATGGTGAGGACACTTTCTGCTTGCGAAACCATGGGATCGGCTACAGTTATTTGCACGGATAAAACTGGTACCTTAACCTTGAATCAAATGAGAGTCACCAAGTTTTGGCTTGGCCCGCAAAATCTCGCGGAAAAGTTTTCCAATGCAATGGCCCCTAAAGTTCTTGAATTATTCCAGCAAGGAGTTGGCCTCAACACAACTGGAAGTATCTATAAATCTTCATCAATATCTGAACCTGAAATTTCTGGCAGCCCAACAGAGAAAGCTATACTCTTGTGGGCCGTGTCAGATTTAGGCATGGACATGGATGAACTGAAGCGCACACACGAAGTTCTCCATGTTGAAACGTTTAACTCTGAAAAGAAACGAAGTGGCGTCGCAATAAGGAAGGAGACTAACAACACAGTTCACGTTCACTGGAAAGGTGCTGCAGAGATTATACTTGCAATGTGTTCAAATTATATTGACAATAACGGCATAGAGAAGTCCCTTGATGAAGAACGGAGTAAACTTGAAAACATAATTGAAGGCATGGCTGCTAGCAGCCTTAGATGTATTGCTTTTGCTTTCATGCAGATTTCAGAAGATATTGATTATAGCGATAAGGAGAAAGCACACCAAATCCTTAGAAAAGATAGCTTGACCTTGCTAGGTATTGTTGGCCTCAAGGATCCATGCCGATCCGACGTCAAGAAGGCTGTGGAAACCTGTAAACATGCA